CAGATAGTCATTCTCAGTTTCCTTGATTTCTTCAATATCATGTGCTTCTTCCTCAACTTTATTTGGTTTTTTCAATTCATCATTGGCATGCTCCATCTTAACAAGAATTTCTTCTTGTTACAACTCTTCTTCATAGATCTCTATATTTCGACCAACATTATCAGTTTTCTTGAAATCCATTTCAGCCTCATTAAAAATTATATCACGAATTGTGATACACCTCTTATTACCTAGTTCTAAGCACCACAACTTATAAGCTTTTACTTCCTAAGGATACCTCATAAACATGCATCTCAGGGCTCTAAGTTCGACCTTGTCTTGCCCAAATACTCTAAGTCTGTCGATATTAGGTGGATGTCCTGACCAAACTTCTTCAGGTGTCTTTATCCCCAAGGCAATCGAGGGACGTCTATTTATTAGATATGCTGCTATCGAAACAACCTCATTCCAAAACACATTCTTCAATCTAGCATTAACCAACATTCATCTAACTCTTTCCAAATGGTTTGAATAAACTTTTCAGCTAAACCATTTTGTTGGGGAGTATCTGTAGTAGTTTTGTGCCTTGTAATACTAAACACATCACAATAGCTATCAAAAGCTTCATTGCAAAATTCAATACCATTGACGATGCTCAACCTCTTGACCTTCCCGCCAGTTTGGTTTTCGGCCAGAGTCTTCCAACATTTGAAATTTTCGAAAGCTTCGTCCTTAGCTTTCTGAATTAATACCCATAACTTTCGTGAATAATCATCAACTATGGATAGAAAATATCTCACACCTGAGTGTGAGGGATTCTTTGCAGGGCCCTAAAGATCAACATTGATATAATCAAGGGATCCATGTGTTCTTTGTTTACCTTTTTTAAACTTCATCCTACAAGATTACCAAATACACAAGGTTCACAAAACTCCAACTTTTTGACCTTTTCACCACATAGTAGATTTTGTTTTGGCAATTCGACCAGAACTCTTTAACTAACATGGCCACGTCTCTTATGCCACAGCCCAGTCTTCGACACATGTTTTATGGATACTACATATGTTAAACCACTTACAACCTCATCCTCAAAGGTATACATGCCTTGCCTTTTGATTCCTCTCAAGACTTCCTTCGACCCCTTCATTACCCTTAGGATACCTTGCTCTCCTTTGAAAACATATCCTTTCTTCCCAAATCCACCAAGAGAAATAAAATATCTCTTCATATCAGGCACATACCTGACACTAGTCAATAGCTTTATTGACTTATCATGGATCTTGATATTACATATCTAATGCCTGTAATTTTGTAGGCTTTCTTGTTTCCCAACAACACTAATCCACCATCTTGATCACATAATTCCTCAAACACATATTTTTTGAGAGTCATGTACCAAGTGGAACTTGAACTCATGATTCATTCCTTGCTCTAATTGTTGCTCGAAACTACCAGGACATCATATGATTTATAATAATCTTGCACAATGGTTTCATTAGCATTATTCTTATTACGGTGATCATTTTTTCGATCAGGGTACATTTTTCTTGTGAGATCCTCCTTCTTACAGCGGTAATGCCTAACTGCAGGAGCATCACCACCATAAGACTTTTGTGGACCTTTACCCTTCTTCTTCTTAAACTTTCCATCTTTCTTCAAGAGTTTTTCCTTAACGTAGAAGCCCTCACCAATAGACGATAGATTATGCTCATTTCGTTCGTTCCAATCCTTAGAGTACAAGGCTGGTTGAACTTCTTCAAATGTCAGGAACTCTCTTCCATACAAGAGAGTTTCTTTGAAGTGAGCATGTAATATGGACAAAGCACACAACAATAACACTTGATCTTCATCATCGATCTTGACATATATATTCTCAAGATCAAGAATCATCTTATTTAACCTATCTGTAGTGGTAAAATTTGAGACCAGGCCATTAATTGACTTAACTCGCAAAGTGAAAGTCGCCACCGCACTTTTATTTTATCCAAAGGAATGAGAAAAGAGAGAATAAAACCCAAATGATAAAAAGATTGAGTTAAAGGGGTTGGTTATGCAAAGGGAAGGTATTAACATCCTAAAAATTTACGGTACTCCGCAGGAACCTCTTTAAAAATCTGTGTATTTTGGCTATAAAGAAATATTTATAAAATGGATGGTGGAGATGAGAAAAGAAGTGGTTTTTACAATTTTTGCACCTTCTGCGGTTGCGAACATTTGTGTCTACGTACCCCTATCGTTCAATAGAGTATCAGGACACTCGTAGTTCACCTCAAATTTTTTTAAAGGTTTGTGTGTTGGTTAATTTTAAGAGAAGAGACATCTCGTCGTATTCGATTGGAAAATACACTTACTACCCACAATTATGAGAAATGAGCATTTGCATCATCTCAAAGTGAAGAACTTAGCTTAGATTTAAAATCAACAAGATATCACTCAACACCCAAGTGGAAAATGGCCCACTTCACTACATATTGTAGAAGTATAGTAGCTCGCATCACTACAAGAATCAACAAGAGTCTAATTTTTGAAAAAAGTTTTAAGATAAAAAAGCCAAAATGTAAAAATGGTTTGAATGAGGTTAATAACTTTTAGTCTTTCAAAAAGATATCAAAGTATGATTAAATTGATTAAGGGTTTAACTAAGAAAAAGAATTTTGAAAATGCATGGACCTAAGTTCAAGTTTATTATGAAAGCGGTTCAAATTTGAAAACAAGAAGAAGTTTTGAAAAGGAGGGAGACTATTTTGAATTTAAAGAAGATGGAAAGAGATGAAGAGACTATCATATGTACACAAACTAAAAGCTAAGGTAAGTAAAGGTCTAACCAACAAGAATCCAACACTTGACATAAAGAAGTCAATGTAGGATTCCTATCCTTTGGATAAAAAAAACCAAGCAAGTATAATATCAAGATAAAACCAAGCCTCAAATGAAATAAGTCTCAGATGAAGTAAGCCTCAGATGAACTAATGTCTCAGATGAACTAAAGCCTTAATTGACAAAAATTGGTCAGAGTAACGATAATATACAGAAGAATTCTCAATCACAATGCCTTAAAGTAAACTCCAAGGACTTCAGATAAAGCATGTAAACCAGAATAAACTGCACATAGAGAAAATTCAAACTAATGCCTTGGAGTAAACCCCAAGGACTTCAGACAGAATAACAACATGGTACCAAGGTCTCCAAGTATCAAGGATTCTAATCCTAAGTACAAGAGATCCACAACTCAAATGTCAAGGATAGTAACCAATAGTCCACAAAGAGATGCTTAAGTCTTTTAATGTTCAAGTTGGTTATAAAGTGTCTTTAAAAGAAAATAAAAGCTCAAGTGAACAAAGATAAAATGACAAAAATAAATACTCAAGTGAGCAAAAGAAAAATAACATGAGATATAAATTCTAAAGATAAAAGTGTATAAAAAGTAAATGCATAAAGTAAAGGCATAAAGTAAATCATAAAGTAAAGTTAATTGTTAATGAGTCAGAAGTTAGAAGTTAATGGTCACAAATATGATCAATGATGATTGAATGATGATCTTGGACTAAGAATAATGAAAACTCATTAGAGGATTGATAAAATAAAAATCTCATAACAACAAGTTTCAAATATATTAGACCCAAGATAACCAATCAATCATACTTGGGCATTTAAACATAAAAGTTTGAGTCACAAATGATCATTTTCTGAATCGGGACAAATTTAGCGTTGTGTTAAACAGTCATAAGTAGACTTATGTAGAAGTCACACATATTTTAAGGTCGGTCAATAGCAATGTGTGTATTATACATGTTAGAGGCATGGAAGAAATCATGCTCCTAAAACATGTAGCACAAGTTAAAACCAAATATCAAGACCTAAGTCATGATAAAAAGAAAAAGAAGACGAAAGAGATGAAGTAGAAATGAATTCTATAATAAATGATCAATGATGATTGGAGATTGAATTTAAGTCAAAGTTGATGAAGACTTGTTAGAGGATTGATAAAATTAATCATACTTAGACTTTCAAACATAAAGTTTGGGCCACTAATGATCACTTAAAGAGAAGAAAAAAAGAAGGATATGAAGAATAGATAGAGACCATCAACCAAAAACCAGAACCAATTACAAAAATATTGATGTTTAATGGATTAAATGGACGAAATACCAAAATGGATATATAAACATCAACAAAAAATCCAATAAAATCAATAGTAAAACAAATTTTAACAGATAAATCTGTAGCCATCGGATCAAATCAACAAACTAGAATTATGTAGGATTTACAATCTAAAATGAAGATACATAATAACAGTAAAAAATATGCGCTTAGAGAATCATAAATTTATTCATCTTCTCATACGAGAACAAGCCGCAGAGAGACCAATCATCCTCTCCCATTCCGACGCGGTTTACAAGGAAGAGAGAAGAGGAGATAAAAGTAAAACACAACAACTAATGCGCATTCACGGTTCACAACAATAGCATTAATTTTTTTCCTTTTTTTCAAAAGGCATCTTTATTTTTCTATGTTATACATCATCATCACTTTTTATTGTCAAAAATAAAACTTCTCTTTATCCAAACCAAAAAAAGAACTCCCTCTCCTCTTACTGCATCATCATCAACATATGTTTCTTTCTTCATAAAAATAAACAGAATAGAAAAAATACAGAAAGAGAAAAGAGGTGGCCGGAGAAGAAGAAAACAGAGGGCGGAGGAGGAAGAACACGCAGCGGCACCGCCGCGAATTTTTCCGGTTTCAAATTTTGTTTATACCTTTGCGTTCAGTTTCTTCTTCTCGTTTCAAATCTTAAATTCGTTTTGAAAAAGATCAAAAGAAAACTGTAGATCTACAAACAAAGTTTCAAAAGTTTTTTGGTTAAAACAACAATAAACAGTCACGGAAAGAAGAAAATAAGGGTGGATTCAGTTTCTTGAGAGTATTGTCATCCTTTTGGTAAGAAGATGAGAAGAAGATGGCGGAGGACAAGGGTAGTTCGAACGATTTCCGGTGGGTTATGGAGATTTCCGACGCGGCTAGGGGTCAGGCACGGCGGTTCTGGATTTTTCGGTCAGTTTCCAGCGAAAAATTACGGCGAGAGTCAGGTGAGGTTTCTTTTTTCTATGTACTCTGAGTTTTGTATAATTTTCAGTGTCTGAATAAACAGTCCTCCTCTTTGTCAGTGTAATGAATGTATATATAGTGTGAGAATTAGGGCTTTGAGTAGAAACAATTTGGGCTGAAATTATTTTCATAAACATTGCTTGTATAGTCAATTTTTTTTTCAATCTTTGTGTTGTTTTGAAATGCCAAATGGGCCTCACTTGAATATGTGATTGGATTAATTCTTAACCCCTTTGTAAATTCACTTGAATGGTGTTGAAATAATTTTTTGTTGTGGAAATTCTTGGGTTTTGAATGAATATGCTAACTCTTAATTTGTTGGAAATTGTTGGAATGAATCTTGATGGAAACAAAAGTGTTGTTGAATCTTGTGTCTTTGAGAAATCCTGGAATGAATTTATTGGAAATATTTGGAATTGCAATGTTGAAGTGTGTGTGCTAATTCTTCCTCTTTATTTTTTCTTTTTCATGAGTTGATAAATGAGGTTGAAGAAAGTGAATGGCGTGAAGAGGAAACCGTGGCATAGAGGTAAGATGGAGAAGCTTGGCACTATTGAGATCGGAAAGCTTAAAGAATCGAGACTTTGTAACATCCTAAAGAGAATTAGGCATAGAATTTTCAAACCATTTTAATTCTTGAAGTGAACACTTTTTGTAACTTGTATTTGCTTAAGAACTTGAATGACATGTGAATTTCAATTGTATATTGATGAAGTACTTAGGCATAGAAACTTAAACTCTTTTGTAACATCTTGATTCTTGAATGAAGATCATATAAGTTTGATGATCAAGTGTTATTTCTTGTTGTCAATTTAAATTTGGCATAACACTTAGAACAAATAAACTTGGGGATGAAGTGAATATGCTTCTTGTGATTTTTGCAATGTTGAACTTGAATTTATGAATTGCAATTGAATCTTGGAAATTTTGAATAACCACACCTATAATGTTCTAATAGAATTCACAGTCTTTTAAGCATAATCTGACCATTGATCCTTAAAGCAAATTTGTAGCCAATATCCTGAAGAGTATCGTGCAAAAAGAATTAACCCGAAATGTTGAAGATCAAAAGAGTTATGATCCTCGGAAGTTAGGAAAAAGGTCAACTAAAACTAGGTCAAATTCTTAAAGTGACCTCTAAAGTACTCAGATTTTTTATGACCATCCACACATAATTAGCTCTTGACTTGAAAAGAAAAGTTAGAGAGGTCCTCGAGGAGATTCATATGCACAAAGAATCACTCAAAAATATTGAATATCAAAGAAGTTATGCTTTGTTGAACTCAAACTTTGAAATATTGACTTTTCGGTCAAATCACTTGGAATCATCTTGCACAACTTGATCTTTTCTCACAATTCAGGACAACTTAATGCACATATGAACTTGTGATGATAAAATCTTGATTAAACGTTGTTCACACTTGTCGGAACTTGAGATTACTCTTCAAAGAATGCATGAAAATAAACACATGAACCTATCTCGAAGAGTCTCGAGAAATAAGCAACCAAACTTGCCTTAACCACGCCGAGTGAAGCTTGACGATATTGTGACCTAAGATTATAGATCACAACTTTGAAACAATAGGTCCTTAAGAGCCAATCTTTGGCCTGGACAACCGACAACCCTAACCGAGGAACCATCACCTGAATTTCTTGATCGGAAACTCTGTCTTTTAAAAGAAACAAAATAAACAAGACATGTTTTTGGATTTTGGTTAGAGGTAAGTAAAAATATAAAACATATATGCACATGATACACATTTCGAGGTTCTTGATGATCCCTCAAGGACAAACTTAAAGATAGGATAAAATAGAAAAGATAACCAACTATAATATGTGATCTCGATGCATTGGGATGATACGAGATGATGAGGGATCTTAGGGGGGAAAATCGGGGTATAACACTATCCAACTGCTCAACTAAGATTTTGACTTCACACATCTTGAATAAGTACAAAGCTTGCTTTAGGTAGAGACGATTGACCAAATATTTGACCATGTACACACCTTTAAGATTTGTCTATACACACGCCACCATTTTCTCCTTTGCGACCTGCCAGAGAACCTTATCACCAAGGTTCAATATAATGGCACTATGGGTTTTATCGATTATTGTCATCTTCTCCTTCTTCGTTAGCACAACACCTATCTTCACTGATCCTTTCAACGCTTTTAACAAAACATGTTGAACTAGTAGGGTTTGCATCTTCAAACGCCATAAATCGGAATTATTCACACTGGTGAATTTCTCAATCTCATAATTTGTTGCTAAAATATTCTCCACACTCACCGCACCCATTTTTTGTTACAGAATACCGTCAAGAACAAACCAAAACTATGAGAAAGATTGATTTTCTTGAACAAACACAAGAAACCCTATTAGGTTTTACGAAAGAGAGAGAATAGGGAATAAGAAAATCAGGATTGGTTATAATAGTTTTATTATTCACTTACTCAATAAGGGTTCAAATATTACAAGTGAATAACAAAAATTAACCTCTCTCAACAACCTGAGAGAACTAGTCTATTTATAGACTACTAAGCTAACTTAAGTAATAAGATAACTTAAACAATTGGACTAACATGCTGGCCAAATTCGACATACTAATAACATAATATATTTCAACAAATGCATACTTGAGCGGACTTCCACTACATGCAAGACTTTGACATCAACATGTGAACAAACTTTGACTTCATGCATATCCTCTGTTGAACCAAGAAGTTACATTTGTCAAGACTAGAGTTCGATCCAAAATTATCACAACTTAATTTATACAAAATGTTTAAAACTTATACTCTCTTTCATGATCAACTTAATTTGAGAGAAACAACTTTGACTTCCGAGGCTTTGTTAAAGTATATGCAATTTATACAGATGCAAACATAAGTTGAATTCTAAGCTTATTTGACACCACCATTTAATGAACAAAACGAATATCTAAATCAATATACTTTTTTTTCAAATATGTAGCAATGATTTATAAGACAATAACACTGCACTAATATTATCATATAATATAGTATGCGGAAAATAAGAAACATTTAACTCAAATAATAGAGACTCAATCCAAAATAACTCATAAGTTGTATGAGATAATACCTTATATTATGCTTCACCCATGGAACGTGTAACAAGGGGTTGCTTTTTGTAACTTCGAGACACCAAATTATGACCAAAATATATGCATGGCCTAGATCTTGATCTATTATCATTAATGTAAGTTCTCTATTTTTAGGATTGGTATTAGTTTTTGTAAAACAAATAAGACAATAATATGTTAGATAGGATGTATTGACTTGCTAACAGGAACAGGTTAAAGCAAGAAGTCATATCTTATGTTAGAAAATATTGAGTTGAAGAGTTTCAACATCTGGAACAACATGTCGGATAAGATGTCCTGTGAAGGAGCCTACGACATTGCGCATGAGCTGAAGTGGACAGTTAGATTCTGTTATGATTTAACTAATACATAATATTTTGGAAAATATTATGCAATATCATATGGCGCTAGTTTAAAGGTCAAGAAGAATCAATCAGAATATTGAAGAATATACAGTTTCTAAATTTGGAGATAATTTAGGAAGATTTGATTGAAGACCTTGTTTGTAGCAGAAGTCACTATTGTTTGTTACAGCTGATATGTTGTATTTTAAAGGTCCAAATCCAGTTGGATATAGGTTATAAATAGAAGTGTTTGTAACCTATGAAAGACACGGGTTCAAGATGTAGAAGTCTAGGGCTTTGTCTTTTTTTCGCTCTCTAGAAGAGTTGGTGTAAGTGGACCACTGAGGTTGTGAGATGGTCACTGTGTTCTCACTTAGAAACCTGTAGGTAATGAGTTAAGTATTGTTCTTGGGGGAAGCTTTGAATCAACTCTAAGTTGTGGTCTTAGTCAAGAGTCTTGTCTAGTTATTATCATGAAAGTGTGTCTTCCTGTTTGTTCAGAATTATTGTGTTGATCCAATCACTGTCTGTGATTGAAGAGGGATTGAGGAGGGCCTCATATCTAGGAGAGTCTTAGATAAAAATCTATGAAGAGTAGTGATTAAGTGATTAGACCATAAACTGGAGATTTTCTATAGGGTCTATGAATTGATACTATCATATTGGATTTGTCTCTAGCTTGGTATGTGCCCAGAGTAGAAGAGTTGCTCCAAACTGAGTTAACAATTTTGTGTGTTGTTTATGTTTTTCAGTACTGTTGTTTAATGTCGATACCTTGCCTGTCTGATAATGTCAGATCAGATGTCTCAATATGTCATAGGACATCTGAGTTCTTTCATACCAGAATTTCAATTACCATCACCAATCCAACCAGATTCACTATAAGCTTTTAAGGAATTTTTTTAATAGAAGTTACAACCATTAGCAATAAACCATGAGTAAAAGTACCACTCAAATATCTTAAAATTTTCTTGAGCATACTCCAGTGAATATTAAGGGGATTGACCATGATTGGAAGCTTTATTAATTCATTATGAAATATCATGATCCATTATGCCAGTTCCATGTTTGCTAAGCTTGTAGTGGCTAAACATGAGTGTATTTCCCCCATTTGCATCAACCATATTGACTATTAAGAGAAGATATCTGATACACATATTTGAGTCACAAGTAAAGAACAATTGTGCTGATATACCTCAATACCTAAGAAGTACTAAGCTCACCCAATTCCTTAGAAGTAAACTTATCGTAAAGTTCAATATTCAAGTAATGAATGGTGATCAGAATATCGACAATATATAGAAGTGCATAAAAAATGATACATTGATATTTGTGAATAAAAAGTAAGTGATCACAATTGTTAGAAGAAAACCCAAACTGAAAAAAAAGCTTGACGAAGCTTCTCATACTAGGACCTTGGAGCCTACTATAGACCATATAAAGCCTTATTTGATTTACAAATCAGATCTTTATTTTCATTCTATAAACCTAGAGGTTGTTTCATATAAGGGAGGGCAACGCGGGGATTTTTTAGGAAGTTACCAATCATCCTCGCTATGAATACGTCTCTCCCAAATTCCATTTTGGAATTAGGATAATTTCTTAATATGCAAAAAGTTGATTACAAGAGAAGTATTCCAAGAGCAATCCAACAAAGCCTAAACATTTGTTGGTAATTCAACCCCTTCT